GGGGAGTGACGCTGACCCGAGCCATTTCCTCCGCGCCCGCAGGAAGAAGCAGCCATGGCTCTGGACGGGATCAGGATGCCAGATGGCTGCTATGCGGACGGGACGTGGGAACTGAGCGTGCATGTGACGGACCTGAGCCGCGATGTCACCCTGAGAGTCACGGGGGAGGTGCACATCGGAGGGGTGATGCTCAAGCTGGTGGAAAAGCTCGGTGAGTGTCGGCCGGCCGGGTCGGAGGAACTACCCCTCCCCAGGCCCGGGGCGGTGGGGGTGGGGTCCGGGAGCTCTCGGCATCCCGCAGAAGGCTTCCGACGAAGCACCACCCCTCGGCGGCTAGCCCTTCGTCGCGTGCACCTTTCTTTGTGACGCTCGGAAATCTCCCGAGGGGACGCTAGGACCTTCCAGTGGTCAGCGGAACTGCGTGGTGGCCGGGGAAAACTTCCTTACGTTTCCCCTCTTCCCTGGAGCGGTCGGCAGAGCGTGCCGGCGACTTGTTGGCTGGGCGAGAGTCCCGCCTGTGGCGCTCGGCCACCTCTTCAGTAGTGGGGCGACTTTTTTGGTATGGAGGATGATGTAAAAACCTATTTACGACCGACTGTTCTTGAAAATGTGCGACGCCGGGAGCCAGCATGCAGTTACTGTGGGCTGTTTCCATGTGCCAGCCAGCCAGCCTTACAAGGGGCGGGCGGGCCAGATGTTTGACCAACTTGGTAACGATAATCTCATCTTGGGGTAAACCGTTTCTAGCGTCCAGTTTTCTGTCTGAAGCTAGGGAAAGAACTGTGTGAAAAAGCAAACCGTATTAATTCGGACTTGACATTGTTGGCTTGAATGCGTAGAGATCCTGGATTATGTGACCCAGTTGTGGGAGTAAGCTACACTAGGAAGTGAGACATGTTTGCAGTACATACTTTGTTCGTGAGGACTGAAACCTTTTTGAGGGGGGAGGGGGAACCATCTCGGAAGATTTGGAGATGATTTAATTATGGTAAGTGCTCTGAGGACTGCCTCCCTGGGCTTTAATTGATGTGCCTTTTGTATCTAATGCAGCTGTGGCAAGGTTACTTCAATTTGGTTGTAAAGAAATAGCATAGGAAGATAGGGAGGCTGTTAAAAGGAGTTGGGTCCCTTACTGAGAGAGTGTGGTGTGTGCACCATATATAGTTAGTAAATAGTGCTCTAATGTCCCACTTACAAAATAAGCAGAATTCACTCTGGTGGACCTGCTGCATGCCCTTGCTGGAAGTTTAATTACTAAAGGACCAAAGGAGAGACCTAGCCCAGGAGAGAGTGAGTCCTCCTGAGCAAGCCTTTGAAAATAAGGTTCTTGTGTTTTGTTCAGCTGATTATCTGTTGGTTAGCATTGTTTTCATCTGATGTGATTAAATCATTGTTTGCCAAATATCTATGGGACCTTCTTTTGTGTAGCACTGGTGTGGGATTATTGAAGGGGAGAAAAGTATCAAGTATTCTCTTGTTTTCAAAGGAAACTAGTATGTCAGAGATTGCTGTATATTTGATTGATAGTTTACTAATAAACTAGCTTCGATAAGGGATTTTTTAAAAATATTGCAAACTGTTGAAGGTGACTGAGACAACTTGGAGTTCTGAAGCCATGTTTTATCCGATGAATAAATAATGACATGTTATATTTGTATTGCGTTAGAATTGCTTATTACAGAATCACAGGCACAAATAGCAGTAAAGAAAGTAAACGTTACAGATGATTGGTGTTAATTTTTTAAGTGGCTATCAACTTCATACTTTAATGCTGATGCATTTTTAACATTTTTAGAACAGGTTTATTAGCACTGATCCACATGTTGTACAGTTTTCATCACAATCAATTCTAGGACATTTTCTTCTTGTCCTCATTGTTATTTATGTAATTGTTTTCTCTAATTGTGGCCAAAATATACACAACAAAACATTCTCCAATTCCACAACTTCTACATGTATAATTCAGTGCCATTGATTATACTCTTTATGTTGTACAACCATTAATACTATCCTTTTCCAAATTGTTCCACCACCATTAACTCACACTCAGTGCCCCCTAAGCAAGGACTCTTCCTCTTTCACCCATGGGAACCACTGGTCAAGTTTGGTTTCTTTCTTTTGTTTTTTAATTACTAAAAAACTTCTCTTAAAATGTCTTGACATAGTATTCACATATCAGTAATACACCTTCATGATTAAATCACTTTTTTAAAGAGTTGTGTATACATACATCATCACAATCAGTTCTAATACTCCCTCCCAATTTGTAACTTTTTTTTCTTTTTTTTAACATTTTTATGCAATGACAAGAAGCCCAATGAGTAGGAAATGCTGTTTACATGAAAGCTTTTCATCATTCTTTTTTTAAAAAAATTAGTTATTTTTGTTGTTGAAAATATGCATAACAAAAACAATTCAAGTTTCTATCTGTACAATTCAGTGTCATTGTTTACATTCTTTAAGTTGTGCTACCCTTCTTACTGCCCCCATTAACATCAGTTCCTCCCTAGTTTCCTCCTCAGTTAAACTCATTGCCCTTTAAGGTCCCTGTCTAATTTTTCTAGTTGCTCTTGCCAATTTGATTCCATAGATCACATCTTGAAAGAATATGATGCTATTGGCTTTCTATCTTTCTTGCATTGAACTTGTACTGCTCTTGTGTGTATTTTAAATTCCAATTAGTGCTTTACAGCACAATGCTGACTTTACTGGTTTTTGTAAAAGTGAGTTTATAATTTTTGACACCTAGTTTTAGGATACCAAAAAAGCAAGCCTGCTGCTGTGGATGGAATAGATTCTGATTCATAGAGACCCTATAGGACAGAGTAGAACTGTTATAAATGCTGATGGAAGCTGACTGCTGGATGGCTACATCTTTCTCCTGTAGAATGGCTGGTGGGCTCAAATCCTCAACCTCTGCACCAGGGCAATCTGCTTTTAGGATCTACACCGGTACTTTGAAATGAAGACTGTTTTGTTATTTACTGGCAAGTAATCAAACTATGGTAATCGAATTAGAAAAGAACTGTGTACTTTTTAAGGTGCCTAAAACCAGAGTAAGTTGTGTCACTGGCGGTATTAAAGGGTAGGCTAGGTGACTGACTGCTTGTCAACTAAAGCAGTTGACAAGCCACTACAGTGGCTAAAGTAGACCAGAGAAGCTTGCAGGGCCTAGATGAGAGATCACATTAGGAATGGCCTGGCCCAGGGTCTGGTGTCTTAGCTGGATTGCCTAGCAGTGACAGACAATTAGCAGAGCTAGGCTATTGTGGCCTTGGGACAGTTCAGATTCCATAACTAAAAAGTAGCCTGCAAAAAAAAATAGTCTGCATATAAACGTTAGGCTCATCAGAGGATATGCAAATAGAAGAAGCATTATGCTTTAAGACTGTTTTCCTATGATGTTCAGTGCAGCAATTCTCTGGGGTTGATAAACAATCTCTTCTCAATATTGTATTAAAGTATATTGTATTAAAGATGGGACTTTTCAGGAGAACAGCCTTTGTCTTTTTCATTAGATTCTCAAGTTTCTGAGCCAGAAAAAAATCTTGGGACATGGATCTTTAGGTTTGAGGATGCTTTAAGCATGCCAGAACAGAAAATTAATGCTTCCTTAGAAATGTGTTGGCAATAACTTCATATGTAGTTAGAATTTTATATAGAACTTTTGCACTTCTATGATTTGTTGCTTTAACATAAAGATCTGAAAGGTTCTTTTAAAATATTACTATAAAACAAATTTGTCATTCTACAGTAATCTTTTAAAATAAAGAATATATGCCCTGAAGAAGTAGGCTTTAGGGAATCATAGCCTTTTTCTCAAGACTGCAGATTGAAAGCTTTAAATAGAATATTGCATTTTTTGTGTTTCGCAAACATTTTAAGCATGTATGTTATATATTTTTTATTAAACTGTAAACCATGAGGGATTAAGGATTCCAAAATATAAGATGCCAGGGAATACAGTGGTAAAATGATCCAGACTGTAAAGAAGAGGCCCAAGTTTATGAGATTCCTTGGGAGAAAATAGAATAGTAGAGACAAACTTTCAACTTGGTGGATTCAGACCTTAGCACTAAAGATTTTAAATATCAAGGAGATGCTTCGTCTTAATTCTCTGTGGGGTTATTAACTGCTTCCCTATATCATCTTACAAAAATGGGTCTTTTTGTAAGCGTCTGTACAATCAAACTTTTTCCTTTCTATAAAAATTTAGTTTATGTGGAGAGTCGGGAATTTCCTGTAATATAGATTCATAACAGAATTTCGTTCTCTGACCTTGGATGGCAGCCTAGGTTACACGATTCCCAGATTTCTTCCAGTTCTGACTTTATGATTAGAAAGAATATAGAGGCTGAATTCGATCAGGCTGCAAGTTGGGGGACAGTAACAACTACAAAGAAATGTATGGAGTTGACTAAGAGTATTTGAGGAATGTTTCTGAACTTTCAGTAAAAGTTGTCCTGGCTTTAAAGTGTGTTATGGCCTTGACATAATAGAATCTATGCTGGGATGCATTGTACAGTTGAGTTTAGGCTGTGAAGTTAACACACGTGACTAAAAAGAGGAGATTTCCGTCAAAATTGCCTTTTAAAGTGACCATTCACTTATTCCATAATTGCACAGAGGAGCACAATAGCTAGTTTCCCCTCTCCAGGACTTTGTTCTATAAAAAGTGCTTGAACTAGGATCAGAGGTTTGGCAAGATGTGGCTGTAGGGAGAGGGGCCTATGTAACTGGACAATTCCTCTCTACTCAGGCTACTTGCAAACTGAGGAAGCTATATAGTTGGAAAAATACGTAATAGTGAATTGAGTCTTGGTTCATGCTTCTTAACTGTATTGCAAAAACCAAACACTGCCATTGAGCTGATTTCAACTCGTGGTGACCCTATAGGACAAGGGGTGGTGGTACACCTGTGCCCTTTTGGGTTTCCCATACTTTAATCTTTCTTCCTCTGAGTGGCTGGTGAGCTACTGACCTTGAATCATTTGAACCAGTGACCATGTGGTAGCTCAGTGTGCAGCCCAGTGTGCCTTTTGGGCTCCTTTTCTTTTTTTAATTGTGTAGTAACTCAGCACATGTTAATTAATCTGCTTAAAATCCCGAGGGTAATTTGCAGGCTTTACTATAAGCCTGATAAACAAAACAAAAATGCAAAATCTCATTGCCTGCTAGTCAATTCTAACTTCAGGCCACTTCTGTAGGGCA